ACACTTCAGCTGAACCTCAGATCAGAACCTCAGATCAGAACCTCAGATCAGAACCTCAGATCAGAACCTCAGATCAGAACCTCAGATCAGAACCTCAGATCAGAACCAACCACAGCAGGCGCGCCGCTGGAGAAGGGCGGATGCGTCCTACCACGCAAAGCATTGTGGGAGGTGTCTCTTAATTTTTAGTTTAGTTTAAATTGTTTATTCTTTTCATTTAAAACCAAATGTTTTATACACATTAAAAACAAAACATATACACAACACACACACACACACACAAAATATATGTATATATACAATTTCAGAACCGTCACGCAGAACAGTCACAGGATAAAGCTCTGTGTTATTTTACCACACACCAGAGAGGGTMGTGTTTCAATAGTTTCCTCATGGTGTTGGTCACTGACAGCAAGCCCTCTCTGCTGTTCAAGAAAATAATGAATTCTTTAAGGAATTTTCTCAACCATGATAACCAGATGATGTTCTGCCCCTCTTTTAAATGATAAACCATACCTTCTGCTGTTCAAGGTGACAAAGACTTGTAGATAATTAGCAGGGGTGCAACAATACATGTACCCTTATCGAACTGTTCAGTACTGAGCTTTAGGTTCAATACACACTTGGATCGAACAATACAGATTTATAAAATTAATTTTATCAGCTTGTCTTCTGAAGCTGTGCAGTGCTCTCAGTTGATCTGTGTTCGACTACTCCACCAAGGCTGCATTGTCGAGCACAGATCCACCAAGAAACTTGCTGTTTCAGCAACATTTAATTTAAAAACTGTACTTTTGATGTTAAACATATGTTCATGATTAATTTCAACAAATATGAAGGCCACTGAAATTTCTCTTTTTTTGTATCAAAAAAATATCGAACTGTGAGACWGAAGTATCGAACTGAACCGAATCGTGAATTTTCTGTATTGTTGCACKCCTAATAATTAGTTATTAGCGGTACTGCGTTTTAATTTTGGAAAGCYCAAATCRGCTTATAAATTACAAAAATTAGTAAGACCACTAAAGGTCAAATGAAACATTAGGTCTGCAATRAGCGGATTTGCGRTTTAGTGGACTGGTGCKCACCTCTGYGCAAAACACAAACAAGGYCAAGACAGACATTATTCTTGACATGTTTACCTGTAGGGGGTGAGGATGTTGAGTGGCGGGGGCTTGTCGCAGCGGTGGTACATCTCCACCACTGGGTTGGGCACGGAGGTTCTGGACACTACCTGCTGGTCCTGAATGGTGCTGCTCTTAAAGGCCTTTCTCATGTTGATGTCTTGCAAGGAGACTGCAAACAGAAACAAAGGTTTTGTAAAAGTGGCCTGCCACATCTAACAGATGGATTGTTGCAATTTAGTTAAGATAAAGCCATTATTTTTTGCCAAAATATGAGGAACAAATACTTTAACTTATGTCATTGTGGGGTCCATATGACCCCATTCATGTTTGGTGTGGCGGTTGGGTCCTCCTGACCCCCACCTGATTAAGCAGTGGTTGGAGGGGCAAAGGGGGGTTGGGGTGGGGTCTGTAGGTGGTGTTTGTGGGTGGCCTGGCTGGCTCTCCAAGAGACAGCCATGACTCTAACTTGCTAGCTTTGTTAGTGCGCCGCAAGGACAGCGGGAGGGTTACATGGAAGGAAAAGTCCATAATATAATCCTAAGGAATGTTTTGAAGCACATTTCTGAGCAGTACCTGCTACTAGCATAGGTTTTGAACAGAAAAGCTTTTAATCTTTTGCTAATTTTCCTGTGACTAGCAAAGCTATTTTCAATACCAGCTGGGAAATTTCAATATCCTAATATGGTTTAAGGTTACCTCTTTCAAATATCGTCAAGAACCCCTCATTAGAACACAACAAATGTAGACTAGTTTTTCAGGGGTCTTCCCAATTAGCAAGACAAATCAAACCATCCCACATGGCAAAATTTGTCTGGTCTAGTTTTGGCCCACACAACTGCACTAACACTCTTTCACACTGGTCTGCTACGTGGGTTAGTTCTGAWCTCCCTCCACATATCAGGATGATCTGGGTATCAGAACATAGCTTAAAAACGTGCTTAGTTAGTTTGACCAAATATGACTTAATCCCTGATTTGATGCAATAGGTCAGAAATATTAAAAACAAACCTGAATCCAGTTTAAAAGAGTGTTTGTAAGGGTTAACCTTTCACAGCACAGAGTTCCTCCCCCAAATTTAAAGGCAACAAGCCGTTTGATGCACATTTGTGCATGAGTGTGTAAGTTTACAGTCAGAGTCTCCTTCCACCTGCTCAGTGTTTGATCTTTCCTTCCTAAGCTTCTGTCCCTGTGGCCAAATGAATAATCCACTGAACTAGCAGCCAATGCAACTTTCATTCAGACACATCTTCAAAGAGGCTTCAAAATCTGTTTCAGTTTTTTTCTGCAAACTCAGTCCTTCTCTCAAAGCATAGATGTTCTTCAGTTCAGATAACTTCCTCATCCCGGTTTTGCATATGCCTTAATCACATAATTAAAAGGATAATAAATAAACCCTTTTAGTTTTCACTCCTAGCTCTATTACCCTCCTCCCTATTTGTTTTTGCACATCCTTTCCTTTTTTTCCCCCACTGTCACTAAGCCTTTTTTTACCTCTTTCATTTGTAAAAACAAACCAAAAAAAAGCATTAAAATTCAGAAATGCCAGATGAGAGCCATTGTGGATAAAAGAAAGGTAAGCAAACGTGAGACGTGATCGTTCTGATAGTAAGGAGATGAAAGAAAAATGGGGAGGAGGAGGAAGAGGAGTGGGAGAAAGAAGGAAAAGACGAAAGACTGCTGAGCTTTTCCTTTTTTTCCATCTGTGCWGCTCTGATGCTGATTGTCTGAGCTTGCTGTGCTGCAGAATGACTAGGCATATCACCAAGGAAGCAAAGACTGAGAGAAGAGAGATATCAACTCTAAACGAAATGGTACAAAAAAGATGCAGACYGATAAAAAAAGGAGAGGGTGGAAAAAAACCAAAGATATAGAAAAAGAGAGTAAAAAAAGACYCTTTTCGTTTTAAACATAATTTAAAAAAGGAACAAAAAGCAGAAAATATGAAGAAATCTCAGCCTGTGTGTGTGAGGAATAATCAATTACTAAACTAGGAGCATTGACCTTCAGGGGCCATAAAAAGCATAATGACATAGATTATGACACACACAAGAACCAACCACAAGCACCACACAACCACTTGCACACTAATAACACTCAAGGGTAATARGGTAACCTTTTAGAGAGCCAGGAGAAGAGCTTATATGAGAAAGAGGCATATAGCTTTGAATAAAGTAAAACCAGTTGTMTGCATGTACTAAACATGGATCTCTACCTTTGAGAGGTCTAAATCCCATTTAGCAAATGCTTTCTTGTTTTATTTATTTCAAACTTATTTCAAACAACATAAAAACAATCCACTTCCTTTGATTTCATCATCTAAACTATTCCACAACATCACACCACAAAATGAAATACACATACTCTTTAAATTTGTAATCATTAGTAAAGATATATTTTCCTCTTAGATTATACTCATCTCTTCTGTTTTTTTGAAGTAAATAACATTTTTTTGCTTTGTACAGTATTTGAACAGTTCTAAACTTAACTAAATCTGTAAACTTCACATGGACTTTATAAATAATGTGTTTGTATGTTCTCTGTACCCAACATTATGCACAGTTTTAAGGGTGCCTTCACACCTGACACWTTTGGTCCATTTTAAACGGACCAGACTTTGTTTCCTCCGTTAGTCCAAACCTTTTATGCGAACCCTGGTGCTGATCAAACAACTGGACAGACTCATTTTTGAGGTGGTCTAAGTCCTCTTCCAAACTCACACTGGTGCGGTTTGCTTCTGGTGTGAATAAAGACCAGCCTCAAACTGAACCAACTACAGGAAACATGCACCATTTTGGATTCACGAGCCACTGCTGTTAAGCATCATGATAACAATTAGCCCTTCACTGTTGCTAACGCTAACACCGCGCTACAAACAATGAGCCATTGTGGGTCAGGGTAGCACACATTTGCCAATGCTGCCCCCAAAAAAGAATATCATTATGAAACCATTAAACCGTTCTTGTTCTTCTATCCTCGTGTGGACTTTGCATTGACTACCATTCATTTACCAGTCATTTCTCCAGCCCAGTGGTTCTCATTTCCTGTCCTCATGGCCCACTTTCCTGCATGTTTTAGTTATTTCCCTGCTCTTCAGCAGGCCTTTAAGTTTTGCAGAAGCTTGTCAATCACTCATTCATTTAAATCAGGTGTGCCAAAGCGGGGAAACAACTAAAACATGCAGGATAATGYCCCATGAGGACTGGAATTGAGAACAGCTGCTATAGCCAAACCCTGGCCCCTTACCCAAAGCTTAATCACCCCAGTACATACATGACCTAAGCCTAACCTAAACTCAGTTCACACCTTAGTCCTYACCCTAATCCCTGACCCACCAACGGTATTTCCAATGATGGGGATCGGAGCTTTTGTCCCAATAGCCCTCACAAGACTGTGTGCACTTGGAAAATACTAAAAATTCACACCCACCAGGCAACAAAAACATGTATAAGAACACCTCACCTTCCTCCACAGTGGAGTCGAGCTGGGTGACTTTCACAGCCAGTTGGTCCACTCTCTCCTGCAGACTGCTCATCCTCAGATAGAAGCTGTTGGCTTCATTAAACAGCTCTCCGAAAATATCCTCTGCATGGCGACCTGGACACCAGTACAAACACACACCCAAAGTTAATTTTCATACAAAACCTATGACATCTGCCATGAAATAAAATTCATTTACAGCTGTTATCTGAGCTCTGATTTACAGAGAGGTGAATCCATGGATCCATTATAATCACCTATCAATGTTTTGAAAAGTAGTTTATGTGAACTTCTGTTTAAAATTGTGTTGCTCTAAGTCTGGTATGGCTATAACACAGAAATGGTGTATCCGTAAGTACCTAAAACAGCCATTTGAAATAATGGAAAATAATGTTAAATCAAATAAGTCATAAAGAAAGTACTTCTTATGACTGTGTTTAGCTCCACTTCCAACTGTGTAGCTGTTATATTTTKCCTGTCGTCACATCTGCGATTTCAGAGGAGTACTGCAGTGAGTATGTTTTAAGCACTAACAAAAARTGTTGCTTTACTTTGCGACTGATGCTTCTAGCATTAACCTGTTCATTTCTTATGGAGATGTGACGTTCACAAACAAGCCAAAACTAGCAAACCAAATCAAAACAATTAAGAATCGTTTCTTTTTTTTCTCTCCTTGTGTTTTCTTCCTCAGCTGCAGACACTCACTCCTTTGCTGTTTCATTGAGACGAAGAAGGACAGTTAGAGGGGAGGAAGAAGTTGGGGTTTAAGGAGAACATGTTCAAGAGGAGAGGGGGAATGTGCGCTTGGCAAGTCATGTYGTGCGACCCTTACGTCGTAGGTTACATTGTTTGGACTACACGATGACATCACTGACAATCCAGTTTGAGTGCCCTTTAAAAATGAACAGATCCACAAGATCCGAATCTCCTCAAAGAGCCATTCATCCCATCTCTAATTTTACAGTCTGACAAAACAAACTCTTCTTGGGTACTAAAGTCAACTCTATCAAAACAAGATTAGTATTTTACCACAGATAAAACAAATAACCATGTTTCTGGTGCAATTAACAGGTACAGTTCTAAGATTAAATTTAGATGATTTGACCATTGTATCTACATACCTTAAAACACATATCTACTACAAAAAAGCAGAAAATTTTCAAAGCTGTACTCAAATTTGTGTATTTTCATTTTCTTTTAAGAAATAAACTTTTTTCCGGCTGATTTTACTGCTGTCTAGCTGTGTTGTTTATCTCAGTATTGGTAGTTATTAACATAGCCCTAGGCATAGTCCATGTATATTTTTTATTTGTTAATTGTGAATAAGTGTTTAAAAAGAGTTTTGTGGTTTTAAAACGAAACCTGTTTGTGAATGGACATCTTTTGTAAASAGGTTGTAAAACTTTGCTTCAATGACTGACATTGGACCATTATGTTTGTTGTTTTTTATTGTATTGTCCTGATCTATGTCTTGAATCAATGTATCATAATTACAGACTGAACTATATTGTATTGGTTGTTGCTGCTCATTCATCTTTACGAAATTAAATCATTGGCATTCAGTTTGATTTCATGTCCATCGTCAAAACTTAAAATTAAGAACAAAACGGAAAAAAAAATGGAATTATTGGCTGACTTTAAAGGTCTGATATTTCTTATTCGAATGACGTTCGCATTGTTGAAAGGGATGAATATTATTTGATTTGGTTCCATCTCCTCTCCCACCTGGCATCTGTCTCAACGGAACAGGCTGCGTCCTGCTGGGAAGCTTTCAGGCTGAAKACCAGAATGACCTTTTGGTTTGTGGGAAATCATGACACAGAGATGCTGTTTGCCTCACTAACACAACGCCCCCAAACGGAATAGCAGTTTACATACTTGGATGCACATTAGCAATGTCATCTCATTGGCTGTAAATATTGTTTGACCCTTTCTGTCTGTCTACATCGTTCACCCAATGGCTTAACAGACAGAATAGAAGCAGAGAGCTTCTACMTGTCTTGAGTCAGCTGTCACTAAATTTAATTTAGCCAATAATTGTTCATTACATCTGAAAAGCTTTTTATCCACATCACATTAACAATAAAAGARCTACTAACTACTGGTTCATGTTTGTGACAGAGGAAAACTGTGGTTAAGATCTGACCAAACAAACCCCTCAAACCACTGACCTTTGTCCACTCAGGTACAAACATCTGGTCTTACTGAGGAAATGTAACAAAAAGAGTGTTTCATTGTGAAAAAATACATCAACATATATAAAAAAGAAAAGAAAAAACGCTTTGGGAAAACACAGAAGCACACAGAGCTCCCATGGGGTTACTGTCGATCTTACAAACCTCTTTAGCGCCATCATTACCAGCAAACCCCAAATTATGAGTCACGTTTTCTTCCATTTGTAAACTAGGGCTATTAAGCATTACCATAGAAACGTAGGCCTCGGGACTAAAGCTTTAGCTAAAAATACACCAGATTTTATTTGTGCATCAGCTACMTTGTTTGTTTTAGAGAAATCTGAAAGATAATTTTAGACAGATTTGTTGGRATAGACTGATCAAAAATATCTTGGTGAAACTAGCTCAGCATCAAATGCCAATGTATGTAATACCACATTTTAAATTCTGTCACAAATTCTAAACATGTGTTTACATCACCATCTACATCTCAATCTTCTACCCCTTACCTGGAGTCTGGTATCAGAGGCAACAGGTTGTGGAGAGAAAACCATACATGCAACACTTTCCAGCTCATCCTGGGATACATAATCCCTCCAGAGAATCCTGGGTCTTCCCTGMGGCCTCCTATCAGTGGGACGTGCTTGGACCACCTCTAAAGGGAGGAGTCCAGGGACATCCTAATCAGATGCCCTGACAAAATCAATTGACCCCATTAGGTGCAGAGGAGCAGTGGATCTACTCCYAGCTCCCCTCCCTCYGATGTCTGAGCTCCTCACCCTATCTCTAGGTGTTTTGCACACACCGAACYTGTTTTGAGCAGCAAAAAAGCGCCCAACGCCTCAAGTTGGGCGCAACACGTTCAGACCGAGACAGAGACTAGACYCGCGTCTGAAGAGYGAGGAGRGTCTTGGTTTTATTCCGGTCTGTCTTCGATGGATGAAATAAAGATAKAATAAAGAAAATYGCTTTGCTTTATTTACCAAAGAGCAAGCGAACGTTGCACASACCAGATAATTAATTCACCAGATGATTTAGAGGCGGTTTGTTTGGTTAGTTTCGCCACTCCAGYAGCTYKGAGKTGACYGYCTATTTTTTGTCCCYAGCCCAGTTTAGCACCGCGGTCACTTTAATGAGCTGCTGACCCACATCGGTGCTGATATCTCCAGCCAGAACATCAACTGTAGATGGTCGATTTCAGCTAAAGAGCTCCTGTCTGTCTGTTTCGGTTTAGTGGGCAACATTCAGAAAACTGTCACGTGGAAAAATGAGTCTCTCTGATTGGTTGTCAAGACGCGTCGAGTGGCAAAAAGTTCAGATGGTTTAACTCAGGAGTCGGCTGCTTTCGCCGCACCGCATGCGCAGAAAATGCTCCTCCGCACCTTCTGCCTTCATTGCGCACCACGCTTAATAGATCTGATGCGCCGCAAGACCCCTAGAGGCGTGTCCACCATAGACTTTGCATGTAAACCAGCTGCTCCTGCAGCTCAAAACGRGTTCGGTGTGAAACCACCATAAGGCTCAGCTTGGCCCACCACAGCTACAATCGCCCCMACCTTACTCTACTCCGGACCAGGTTGTGTTTGGCTTGAAAAGAGAGCCACCTCGATGTYGGCAGGATCATGACATTAAATATGTGCAATCTTATTTTGTTTAATTWGTGACWAAATAATAATGGACTACACAAAACTCGAAGGAAAAGTACCAAATATTGAACCGTACCACAGTGTTTGACACTTAAGAAAAGAAGGCAGGACGACAGACAACAATAAGCTAATGTTAGCTTTTTTGTTAGCTTGTTATTGTTTGGTAGATCGCTACTATTGTTGTGTAGTTAAACTTGTGTGAAAAAAAGTTACAGTAGCTACAAACTATTTATATAAAGTTACTCTTATTTGTGTAACATAAACTCCAGGTCAGTGAACCATAAGCAACAGTAGCTGACGACAAATTGGTCCCGGGCAGCTCAACCCAATAGGAACCATAGCTTTTGAGGCTCTAGAAATCGGGGTGGACCTGGTTCATAAGGYCTAATGCAAAAATGCCAAAKCTAGGTTTGAACCCCGGTGGGGCCAGGTCGGGCTGGGTGCAGTGCCTTCTAAGAATGAGCRCAGCTYCCCTACAAAGGAAGCTCATTTRGTCTGTTTGTTTCCTGGATCTCYTTKTTTTGGTCATGATCCWTGTCTCATGACTACAGGTGAGGTTTGGACAATGACAGTACTGTAAATTGWGAGCTTTGTCTTTCAATTCAGCTCTTTCTTCACCACAACTGACCGCCTGAAAAAACACCCTAATTACAGGACTAGGACGTGTTTCCATAGGTGAGAGAATTATAATAAACAGGATACTCACTCAGACTGCCCAGCTGTTTAATGATGGCAGCTAGTGTGCTGTTGGTGACACACTCCAGTTCACTGGTCACCCCATCTGGCAGAGCCCCACGGCACAAGTGCCGGGGTTCAATATTTCTCTTCACCAGCGGCATGTTGCACTAGTCCTGTAGAAACAACAAACAAGGACAACACAATCATATAAAAGTTAATATCTTACAAACACAGAACAATCAGGTTAACTGAAGATATTACAAAAACAAACGGAGTCTGCATTTGCGAGATAATTTTTTCTGGTTCATCCTGATGGCAGCGATCCAATTTTGGTCTGAACTCCACTTGAACTAGCTGCTACCCTGTCAATCCAGTCAGAAATAAACTKTTTTTCTTGAAACTGAGGTTGTTCAAAGAACAATCAACAACAGATAAGAGAGTACTTGTGCCCTTTCTGTGGAACCCTACTTAAGAAAGACCCCTTTATGCTACATTTCTGGCAAATTAAAGAGAGAAGTCAGYAGCTGGGGGTAAAAGAGTTTATGTTCTGATGTGAGTCCTGATGAAAAAAAGACGTGTCATGTTTGCCGTAGGGCTTGGTCACTCATCAAGCTGTTTAATGTCAATGTGGCTGCTATGAGCCAGGAACCAAATGAGCCAGACAAAAACGTTTAAAAAATGGCTAATGGGCCAAAACTGTGGTCAAGGAGTCCACATGGCTAAATGAAAAAAAAAATAGTAAAAAGAATAAAGACATAAATCATTTATTTAACCTTTAACATTTGACTAAACAAAKCATCTCACATTGTTCTGGCTTGTCTTAAAATGCCATTGTGTCTGTGTGTGTAAATGCGTGTGTACCCGAGACAATACCAACAATATCTCCTCAGCTGCTGTAAATAATCCAAGACCCTTTCTCTTTAATAATACATATGTCCTCCTCTTCCTCTTTAACCTTCTTCGTTTCAACGATTACGCTCCACCTCATGTTTGTCTCGTCTAGCGTATCCTTCCCTCCATTGCTCTTTTCGCACCCACCTGCACGCCTTCTTTCTCCACATCTTCACTTCATCCAAGCCTGGTTTCATTAATAAATCAGTGAGGATGAATATCTTACTCTGACTCCAGAAAACCTAGTGGCCTTTCTGTTTGGATCTGAGAGTCTGCGGTGTATTCTCTTTCTGAAAATTGATGTTCAGACACACATTGACCGCCTTTCCACCCTGAGGCACTCCTCGCGTGAGTGGATACGAGTGAGCTGGTGCACCACAGGACAAGGCATTAAAAAGGTAAAAAGTGCTCCTCTCTCAGTTTTGGGAGTTTATTTTATGGATTGCGTGTGCAACATAATTTAATTTGAAAACAAAAATGATGAAGATAGGTAAAGAGGTCAATCAACAATGATGATTTTAAATGTCTCGAGCAAATAAGCTTTAAGCTTTTTCGAGCAAATTAAAAGGGTTTCAGTTCTTTAACCATAATTCAGAAGCACATAAATATATTTTTTACGTTTATTACATCTAGTCAAAAACTGAAAAAGAACATGATAATCTCTCTTTAATAAAGTTATAAAGCATCTTGGAGGATTAAACAGCTGTTTTTCCAAATTAAACTTTCTATTGATATGGTTTTGCTTTTTCTGCTACATGATCATAATAAAATGCGTTACTTCTGGCTAAAGACAAGAGAGGCTGAATATTTTAACAGTGCACAGTTCACAAACSTAATGCCTGACAATACAAACAGGATTGGGATAGCAATAACACATATCTTTGTTTTTGTAGGTGTGGAGCCAAGATGTCGGGCGTGCTGTCTTGCGTTTTCTCAATATATATTTCACATATCTTCTAATCTCTCTTTCACTCTTTCTCATTACATTTCACTTTTTTCTTTCTCTTTCTTTTTCTCCTTAAAAGAATAAAAAAGCCACTGATGATGAAGAAGCTAAGATACTAATATTCAGATATTCAGTTGTGCTTTCTACTGAAGTGGCAAAAAAAATTAAGGAGATATTTCAGATGTTAAACCCTGAGGAATAGTGATTATAACTGTGAAATTGTAATCTTTCTTTATGTTTACAGGTAGATTACATAGTCAAACAATTAAGACTTTAAGAACCAAAGAAACCCAAATAAACTAAATTCTTCAGATWAGACTGGAAGAGAATGACGAGCAGCCAAACTGTGTCGCGGAGCCCTGGGAGTGTTGTCATGGCAACACATTGAGGAATCTGCTGTAAAGTGGAACTGGCTGTGCCTCTGAAAATAGTATGAAAGAGAAACAACAAGAAGGAGGCAGAAAGAGAGAGAGTAAGAGAAGGCAAAAAAAGGATGACGAAGAGAAAGAAGAAAGTGCAGACATCTTAGTGAAAACCTTTCGACATCAGTGTAAGCCTCAAGAAGATTTGTCACACAGTGACACCTGCGCTAAAGAGACAAACACGCCAGAGTTTAGGGAGCAGGACTGAAATAACTTCCCCTAAAAAGGTCAATCCAGATCAAAATTTGGGTTGAGATGAAACTCATTCAGAATGTACCAGTGGAAATTTACAGCCGCATGAATTACTTGTCAGGGGCTGTTATCTGATAACGCTTGCAACAAGCTAGCTTGTCAGTGCGGTCAGAAATTATTTGCATTTCTTCACATCGAGGTTCAAAACCCTACGGATTTAAAACAAGTAAAACCATTACATTTAAATATAAACCTAAAGAAGAAAGTTGGCTTAGCATTACAGAAGAAAACGTGACGCTGGTGCAGCATGGCAGCTCAGTGGTTAGCACTTAGCCTCACAGCAAGAAGATCCTGGGTTCSAACCCCAGTTTGGAACTGGGGTCTTTCTGTATGGAGTTAGAATGTACTTTTTATTCTTGTGTTTTCTCAGAGTACTATGATTACCTCCCATAACTAAATACATGCACAGTGGGCTGCCTTCCAGCCCAGGTCTCCCTTGCAAAAGAGATCTGTGATCTCAYTGGGATTTGCCTGGTTWAATAAGGGTAAATAAGTAAATCTCTTGAAACAAATTATAGAACTTTCAAAGCTCATTCACCAATATGCTATGTATTTTCGAGGCACATTAATCTTATACTGCAATCAAGTAATTATGCTATCTTCAGTTGTTATGAAAATGCTGTATACATCATAAATTAATTTGACTTCACATCATAGCCAACTTAACACATTGAAAATGGTCTCTGTCTCTTTAAGAACTCCCTACCGTTTCTGACATTTCCACTTCAGCACATCTTCACAGCAGTGTTTTGGGGGAGGGGTGCTCTGTGGGATGAGATATAGGCTGGTGACTGAMRTTCAGGGAGGAGCTTTGTGTAAAAAGGCGGTGCTTTGTATCAGCAAATGTTTAGGCAGCTCCACATGGCCTCCACAGGAGATTCAAGGATTTTTTTCTAGTATGAATGAGTCAAAGCAAAAATCTGGGGTTGTTTTTGATGAAGGAATATATCTAGCAAATTATTCAGCACATTTAATACACAAAGCATAGTAAATATATGGCCTACATTAACACAAGTTTGCCTCACATTTGTAGAAAGACTTTTTGATGCCCAGTTACCACCTCTGCCCCCACGATGCCTGTTCCTGTTAAACCCACAAGAGGTTGAGGGCTGAAGTGACAAATGCTCAGTACTCTGCTAAACTGCATAGACGAGCATTCTAGACTGAAGAATTCTATGATGGATTTAGATGATTGGAGAATGGGGGTATTTTTTTTAAGAATTAAGACAAGTAATAACTGTTAAACAGTAATTTTGGACTCTGTGTTGCCACTTTTTGCACATGTTCAAGGAAGAACATGTGAGAGATTGGCAACAGTTAGGTATGCTTAACTGGATTAGTAAATGTAACAAAAAGATGCTCAAACACCCACTGAAAAATAAGTTCACACTTTAAAAATTATTTTTATCCTGTGGAAACTTCTTGGTCTTTTGTCCATCTACGTGTTACAACTTGTCTATTTCCTCCACTCAGTGTTTTAATCGCTGACGGGGTAATTACAGTTGTAATAAGATAAGACTTTATCCCTCTGATCCAAAGCTGATTGGATCCTGTTTGTAAAGATGTGTAGAGAGGTTGTACCAAACCCTTGCCTCCAACCCCCACAAGTCTGGTTAAAGCACGCACGCATTTCAGAGGGGAGGAGGAAACCAGTAGACATTGTTTGCTCTTTTTATCTAAACGCAGCGGCAAGCTGTTCAACTCTTCTTCCCTGCAGGTGGTTAGGCTACGATCAGCTAATCATGCTACAGCTCCTTCTGTTCTATAAGCTCAGGTGCAGACTCGCACAGACCTCTTCCACTGTCCTTACCAGGATTAGTCTGTCTCAACCTGCGATCCAACCTTTCACCCCTCTCCTGCTGTTCCACAGGACAAACTATATAWTCACAGCTTTGCACAGTAACTACTGGAATGCAAGCACTGATTCTATGTATGAGCTGAAGAAATTTGCGAAAAAAATAGACTATCTTTGGCTCCATTTAAACTGATACAAAAATTGTCTTTCTGTGTTAGTTTGATAATCTTGTCTGGACCATTGAAGTCGTGCTTTCTCAAAACCTTCTGTGACTCACAATGAATAATAAAAAAGAGCATTAATGTAAATCTAGATCTGGCTGGCATGAACGCCCAGCTTTGCAACTGATAAAGTGAGCCAACACACTGTAACAGAGCTAATGTTTAATTCCCTGTGAAGATTACTCTGGTTTTACTTGTTGAGTCTCAGAAGTTCTCCGTTTGGGTGTAAGCCAAATGCCATCTAAATAAGCACAGAGCTGAACAAAGTGCAACATAAAATAATAAAAAATGAGTGGGACAAGCTGCCAGCGGAATGGAGATCATATATTTTAAAAACAACTGGTTTGTTTGGTGCTACCTAAAGCAAAGCATCTTCTTTCGGCTTGGGCAGCARGACAGTTTGGTGGTATACTTAAGGTACTGAAACTAACTGAACTATTAGAGCTCTCCGAGGGCCACACTTTACATCATTACTGGCTTTGGAGTGTTACGAAGCAGTCAACCAACTGGGGAGAGATAACAGTGTTACTGTTAAATGGGTACCAGGACATACMGGCYTMAARGGTAACAAGAGAGCTGACTACCTCYCAAAAGCTGGCAGTCAGGCTCACTTCAAAGGACCAGAGCCTGTTGTAGGTACCTCAAC